TGCGGGGGACTTTAAAAACATTTTTGTGTTATTTTACATTTTTTTTTATTTGTGACTATTTTTTTAAGCTTCTTTATTTTTTTATGCTTTAATTTTTTTTTAAACTTAATTTTTTTTTACACTTAACTTTATTGGTATCACATAGGGGGCTAAGAAACATGACAGGTTCTCTTTATGGAAACATCAGGGGTCACCTAGGGACCCCCAGAGAAGCTGATGAATAAGGGATCTGCTTCAGCAGCTTCTCACCCGCATCTGTTGCCGGAGAGTGACACTAAATGCGGAAGTGATGTAATATACATCACTTCCTGCATTGAGGTACTGGAGAGGAGATCAAAGGGAGATCATGTACTGAACCCCCTTTGATCTCCACTGACAGAGTCGATGTGCCGGTCCCAGCCGCACCGGGCACAGCAGATCTCTGGACCGGCAGCGGCGGTGATGGAGGCGGCAGTGAGTGAAATTTGTCAGTGCTATGAGCACTATGGGCATCTTCAATAAGTAAGTTTACAAACTTCTAGATCGATATGGTTATTAGGAGTGGGATGGAAGTGATGGAAATGCAATAAAGATATAAATATTTATTTTTTGACCACAGATACTCTTTAAACTCATGTTAATTTGGTTTCTTCTTCTTTTACAGTTACACTAACAAACAATTTTTAGGGAAATCTACAGATTGGACTGAATATGCTGTTTTGCTGCTTTCTATATTGAAAGCTAGAAATGCAAAATGGGGCTTTTCCAGTACTGTGACTCAGAGCTGCAATCCCCACTAGGACCAGCTTCTCAGTCCTGCACTGTGAGTGGGCACTGTGTTCATTGTGTAAGGTAACACTATATGAAAGCAAAGGGGATCCCTGCTGTATGAATCTACCAACCCCTGTAGGTAGTTAGTAGAGCATAATAAACAAAAATGAGGATATGATGCTTTCATGATCATTTTCTGGTTAATCTTCCACTGTGACTCATACATTCTAGAAGTCAGTAATTTCCCTAAGGTGAAACTGATAGACAAGCACTGCAGAGTAAGAGAGAAAACAAGAGCAATGGCTTTCTGTACTGTTAAAGGTTAAAGAGAAACCCTATGCATGTGTTTGAGCCATAAACATATATGTATTACATATTATTTTCCTTCAGGTTTTGTAAGAGCTTTTGAAGTATTACCTAAGATACCGGGGAAATGATTTTTATTATTACCATGAATGAGAACTTTAGATACAATATATATACTGCAGAAAATATTATTGCACAGCTAAGTAAAAGATAACTTTCACACTCATTAAAGCCCAGCTCCAGCATGAAAAATAAGCCTGTCTGGAGTACTCAACCTATTTTCTATTTTATTCAACCAGACTCCAGGGTTCCTGGATTAACTGCAAATATCTGCACTTCAGTGTGGTTTAAAAAAGTTTAGCTTTAAAAGACTTTAGACTTCGAAAAGGAGATCACCGACATCAGCATTTGCATTTCTTTCAGTAGAGGTTTGAGGTAAGTTAAAGTGACACTAAACTTAAAATGAATCTTAAAAATGTCTTCAAGTACCTTAACTATTAACAATAATGCAGCTTACTTGTGCATTACTCAACTGTGAATCCTCAAATCATCTCTGAGTTGGTGCTGACACTGTCCTTCCTTCTGGAGGCTGGCTACTTTTGTTCTCCATGGTCCCTGTGTGTGTTATAAAGTAGACACCACTCCAAGCTCAGCTACACAATGTTTGGAGATAGCCTGCCACCCCCTTTCCGGCCAGAGTGTCACAGGTTGCTAAGAGCCGGGCAGGGAGATGTGTAAGAGCCATACACATCTCCACAGCTAACCAGGGACACTGATCTCCAGATAGCAAACTCTCCCGGGCGCTCCGGGAGTCTCCCGCTCCCGGCCACCAAGGAGAGAAACACTGCTTTTTCTTTTTTTTTTCTTTATTCTGACACGGAGCCGTGTCAGAATAGAAAAAAAAAAACTTTTTGGCCATAAGAATGCATTGCTAGATTCCTATTGGCTATTTCAAAAATTTTTCTGTTCTGCTCGGTACCACAGAGGGACCGAGCAGAATGCCGGCTAATTACTCACTGCTGTTCGGCATCTATAAGAATAGACCGAACAGCAGCAAGTAGCCTGCCGGAGGTCCGGCTTAGATGGTCCAGCTTAGTCCAGATGTTGGTTCGGCTGAGTCGAACTCCTTCTGCACTTCGGCCGACCCGAAGCCACCCGATGTAAGGGTGATTTCAGCCGATATACGGCTGAGATCAGCTGTACCAGCCTGAAGTGAATAGCCGAACAGCTGAATAGCCGGCAGCTTAGTGAATAGACCTCTGAGTCTCTCATTGCTTCTTAACTGTTGGAGGCAATCTTGTGAAGCCTGAGATTGGAGCAGGCAAGCATCTGTTGTGCTTTTTTGAGACTGATTGCAAACTCATTGGAAGGTAAAGATTTTAAGCAGTCATCCACATAAAAGTCTTTTTCTATTAATTGTCTAGCATCTGAGCCATACTCAGACTCACCTTCTTGAGCAAAACATCTAAGTCCATAGATAGCAACTGCAGGAGAAGGGCTGTTGCCAAACATGTATACCCTCATGCGGTACTCTATGATGTCTGAACCAGAGAAGTTTCTCTCTGACAAGAAAGCAATGAAACATCTGCTGGATAAAATGTCCCCAGATTTTGTTTTAAAATTTTCTTTCGGGGGGCAATTGCCACCCTGCCCCCTGGCCCAGTCCGCCCCTGCCACCACCTAAAACAGGGGCGTAGGGGCTTTTTCCAGTTAGAGCGGTTAAAGTCTGGAACTCTCTTCCACAAGCAGTGGTATAAGCTTAGAGTATTGAATCATTTAAAAAGCTTTAGTTACCTTCCTCAGAGACTGCAACATACAGGGGTACAGGTACTCTTAAAAACTAGACCACACAGACACTCATGTACACACACATACACATGCACAATCACACACAGACACACAAGGTTGAACTTGATGGACCTGTGTCTTTATTCAACCTCAAATACTATGTATACTACATAGTATAATTTTTGTTAATAGCTGTCATTGGCGGCCGCTGATAACAACTATTAAGGGACCGTCAGGGGAACCATTCTAATATAAGTTCATGGCCGCTAAAGGTCGACCATGAGCTTATAGCAGAACAGTAAATGCACACGACGTAAGGCATACTGACAGGGAAGGCTGGGAACAATTTTGATCTGCTATATGCCTTACGTCGGTGGCAGGCTGTGGGCAGCAAGCAGAGCGGCATGTTTGTTGTATAATGGCCGCTCTGCTGCACAATGCCATACCCCCCCTTCCATCCACAGTGTCCCAGGTTACTAAGAGCCGGCAAGGTAGATGTGTAAGGGCTATACGCATCTCCCCACACAGCTTTTAGCAACCTGGGATGTTATGGCCGGTGTCTTGGTGATGTCACTGGTTGCCAGGAGCTGGGCCAGATGCCAGTCAGAGCACCCCAGGTCTGCTGATGGTTGTCTATGCGTTTAGCAGGAACTTGCGCCTGCATTATCAGGAAGATCTCTGAGGATCTTTAAAGAAGATTTCTTTAAACTATAGTGGTCAAAATATATTTATATTATATTATTGGTCAAACAATCGTTCAGTCGATTGATTGTTTATATTTATGTTTATGGTCAGTGTTACTTGATAGTATTTATGCTATTATGCTGAATTGCACAATATTACTTCTGCAATGCTGGCTTAAAGTTATTAACTACTGCACCGCTGGATGATATACTAACCTGGGCTCATTCCCTTTTGATAACTCTTCTATATATTTTACCCTTGTCCTTTAAAGATGTTTTTTTCAAGATTACAAGACTGTTCTACTGGTATTCTTCTTAATATAAGAATTGTTTTTCTGGCAGTGCTGATTGTGCAATGAGCTGTAATGTTCCAGTCAATCTTTTGCTATGTTGGCTGCCAAATAAAATAACAAAACAACAGAAGCACATTTAGGGCTCATTTAGACAGGCGGTTAGGCTAGTGCGGCAAGATCCTGAACACAGATAGATAGATAGATAGATAGATAGATAGATAGATAGATAGATAGATAGATAGATAGATAGATAGATAGATAGAGAGCACAAATGAAGTTTTTACTTTCACTTTCTCTGGTTACTACAAATACTTTGTAAAGTCTCATTATTTGTCTTCACAAACTGCAGTTACTAATTTACTTCGCTGCTTTGAAACTGTCTGCACCTCTTTCTCTTTCTGTGGCTGCGTAGGCATTTGCTATGGAACTGTGGCACTAACGATTAAGCTCAGACTTCCCCCCCCCCACCTACCTGGAATATTATTCTGACACCTTCACACCTTCGCACATAGGGAGACCCACCCCCACACCATCAAAGGGAATAATTTAGAATATGCCAAAACAATTAGTATGTAAGAAGTATCTATTCCCGTAGCATTTTAAAACATAAAATGATGTAACAAGGCCTGCTTTCAATTATAATAATCCATTAACTACATTTTAATAAAGCAAATTTTAAGATGGACCTGCCAGCAGATCAACTATTAATTCATTTTTGTGCTTACTGCCTAATAGACATATGCAAATGAAAAAGATTTATTTTGGACAAAATTAACTAAAAATAAAAGCATTTTAATGTGTTTTGTGAAATGAAACGAACCTCCAATCCCAAACAGCATATGTAAAGAAAAGAACCATCTTGGTGTAGATCTTGGTGTACACCAAGATGGAGGTGCCCATACTATCATAAGACATCATACGCCCTGCCTCCAAGATGGCGGCACGTATGTGCAGAATGCGCCAGTGACCAATATGGCCGCTGTTAACAAATTATTATGTGCCCGAATATGTTTTTTGTATACATATATTATTTAGTTCATTCGGATTCGGACGATTTGCAGGTTCGTCTGAATCCGAATGCACAAGTCTACTGCCTAATATACAATTTGGAAAAGAAAGAATAAAAGTGCCCATACATATACTGTTCATTGGCAGTGAAGTCTAGATTTAGAGCATCTCTACCAAAAACTGTCTGATACTCAAGCAGAAATGAAGGCAAAATGGATGATACAAATCTGTGATGGAGATATTGTCCTCGATTCGCCAAAAGGGATGAGCTCAGGTTCAGACTGAACGTGTTCCAAACCTGAGCTCCTCCAAACATGAAAGTGCCATGGGCCACCCATCCAATCAGCTGCAAGCTGGGGCATTCCTCACCCAGCAGGTGCATGTGGCCAGGTAGCTTGACCTGACGTAATCAACCTTGTATGGCAACATGACCATTTTAGGTCAATGTCATTCACCGAATATAGTCATGTGGCCATATAAGTTCAATGGCATAACTGTATCCCATCCCTTTGCTTACATGCAGCTGCAGAAGGTGAAGGAGCTCATTCCTATTCATCAACAGTAAGTCCTCACTGCCATAGTTCCTGTTCACCTCAGATTATTTCTTGTTCCTGTCAAACTTTGCATGTTCTATCACCTCATTTTGCATTTTACATAATATAAGTTTATTAAAAAATCCAGCAGTCAGTTTTTGAACCCCTCATTATAACGCAGCAGATGTACAGACCCAGCAACTTAAGCACAGAGATCCCACCAATAAAGTCTGTTTTGATTGTACTGACCCTTGAGGGTTGATAGATAAATCTTCCACTCAGCGTATAACTAGGCAAATACTGTTCATTTGGCACTACCACTCCTAGATGGCACTGAGGCGCACAGGAATTTCCAATACTGCACGGCTACATTAATATTGTGCAAACGGCATTCACCAAGCTATATGCTAATTTAGGTCTGAATTTATAAATCAGACCCTTAATGTCTACATATCTGAGTCTGACAAACATGCTTCATCAAGCAAGAAATCAGGAAATGGGTATTATATATACTCATGATGTTACCGCTTGGCAATGGCAGTCAGTATACAATAGAAATTAGTACAGTAAATACAGTATATGAATGAGTAAGGGACTCGAAGACAGAAAAGTGGCAGCTCTCAGTCATTCATCATATTATAGAGTAATCTAATTAGCAAATACCTTATTGTAAATTCTTTGGGGTCTTCTTTATGTGATTGTGAATTATTTGCAAAGTTTTGGGGCATTCACATGTTACAACACATTACACATTGTGGCACGTGAAACATAAAAGAAACCATCCAATTTTTCAAATGGTTTAAGAAAGTACAGGAAGGAAGTGCACATCAAAGATTGAGTACCGGAACTTACGGCCGTGATCTAACGTGGTGGGGCGGCTGAGTGAGGCACGTGAGAAAGTTTTATCAAGCAGTACGGTATTGGGTAAGTAGAGCATAAAGCTGCTTGAAGTGGTTTGTACCTGTTATCTTTGTCTACATCATATGAACATACACAATGATTTTACACAGACCAGCAGTACATTTTACCTTCTGTATTTTCTTCATTGGGAATATTTTATTTAAAGGGCCAATAAACCTAAATTTCCGTGTGGTTTAGCAAGCTGCACATTTTAGAGTTTTCATAAACAAATGTGTTGCCCTGTATGACAGTATGTTCGACAAAGGCTGAGTTAATTTAAATACATTATCAAAGCTTTCTATAAATAAGTTTTAGTTTAATTGTCATCAGTGAAGAAAGAAGAAGTTCCAGGCAAAATCTTGTGAGTAAAATCCCCTTTAAAACTGTTTCAGTTGGCATAATACGAAAATTGGAATATACAGATGTCCTCAGTGCTGACATCTACAAAGCTTTGCGTGCACACCAAAACGTTTGCTCCATTTTGGGTTTCTGTTGGTAGACTCTTCTTACATGACGATTTATTCTCCCCTGTGCCATCCAAAATTCCCCACAGCCGGTAAACAAAGCTTTCAACGTAATTTAAAGAATCACAGGAGCACAACCACCAACATGTTCTGATTTCAATGTAGAATATTACTACCCATCAGGGATGACAAGTGCCATCATGCATCATAGTCATAGGGCACAATGGGCCATTGTTGGTTCCTTTATGTCATTATCATGATTAATCACAGTGACTTATGTAGCCAATTCTAACTTCTATTTCTGAAAACACTGTCAAAAGATATTTTCTTTGTTGTGTCAAACAATTGTTCAGTTGATTGATTGTTTATACTTATGTGTATGACCAGTGACATACTACTATTTATGCTACTTTTCCTGGACTGAACATTATTACTCCTGCACTGCTTGATTACATTTATAAAGAACTCCTCCACCGCTGGGAATAATTATATACTATTCTGGGCTTATTCCTTTTTGATAACTCTTCTATATATTTCACTCTTGTACATTAAAGGTATTTTTTTAAATCTATCTATCTATCTATCTATCTATCTATCTATCTATCTATCTATCTATCTATCAGCGTTCATCATCTTGCCGCACTAGCCTAATCGCCTGTCTAAATGAGCCCTAAATGTGCTTCTGTTGTTTTGTTAGTTTATTTGGCAGCCAACATAGCAAAAGATTGACTGAAACATTACAGCTCATTGCACAATCAGCACTGCCAGACAAACAATTCTTATATAAAGAAGAATACCGGTAGAACAGTCTTGTAATCTTGAAAAAAAACACATTTAAAAGACAAGGGTAAAATATATAGAAGAGTTATCAAAAAGAAATGAACCCAGCATAATATATCATTCAGTCCAGCGGTGCAGGAGTTAATAACTTTAATCCAGCATTGCAGAAGTAATATTGTTCAATTCAGCACAAGTAGCATAAATAGTAGTAAGTAACACTGGCCATACACATAAATATAAACAATCAATCGACTGAGCGATTGTTTGACACAACAATATAATATAAATATACAGTATTTTGACCAGGATAGTTTCCTACGCATTTCACTGGAGTTTAGGCCTACTTCGTCAGGAAGATTTATTTAAAGATTCTCAGAGATCTTCCTGATGATGCAGGTGTAAGCTCCTGTGGAATGCATAGAAAGCCATCCTTGTCTCACTGATACACAGACATTAACTAAGAAAGAAGAAAAGATGAGATACAAAAAGGTATTTTGTATGAGTTAAGGATGAATGGAGTAGTCAGTGATACACTTAGAGATAGAGTTCTCTGAGGTGGTTCAATAGAACTGTGTCTTTGTATACTTCGTTTGTTTCTTGTAAATCAGATGGGTATTGATAGAAATGGGAGTATGTAAAATGTATCTTTTATTGAATTTTTTTTATAATTTTGAAGAAGAAAAATATTTAATACTTTTATAATAGACATATGTGTGCATGAGTACCTAAAAAAATCTGACAAATTTATTTTAACATCATGTATACGATGAACCTGATGAGAATAGAAAAACTAGCAGTAGAATATTAAAAAAACAGGCTAAAATCTTCCTATTGTGTGCTGATGGATAAATACAAAGCATGCTGTGTTTTTTCAAATACTTTCTTCCCAGCTATGTGTGGCCTAATATATTCATTTTTATATTTTCAGAGCAAGGCAACAAAGTCAGTCAAATGGGAGCTTCCAAAAAATAAATAAGGGCCTCAGTCTACAGATTCAGAATATCAGCTATATGAATGCAATCTTATTTAATGATTTATTATTTCTCTGTACTAGCTGTGCATGACTATCTCACACTTCTCTACAGCATAAGACAGGCGGTCACAAAAAAGAAATGAAACGAGTTTTAAGAAAATAAAAGTCTGTATAGTTTTACTGTGAAAAGTTTCAAGCTGAGGTGACAAACAATGTCAAGAGACAACAGCTGTGACAAAAAACCTTTAATAAAAAGAATTTGTAAAAAAGTTTTTCTCAGCAGAAAATAAAAGTTCTTTTCTTCTGCATTGTGAATTTCTTTTCTTAAATTTTTTTGTATTTTTCAGCAAAATATAAAGTTACAAATAAAAAATCATGTCACAGTTTCAATGGTGTATAAAATCAGCAGGAAATATGGTCAATAGTAACAAAAGAGCAAGGCAAAGGGGCATTTAAGGTGTCATATCTGGACACCTTAACGGAACATAAAAACAAGTCTGTCAATAGTGTACATATTTTTTACATTTATTGAATTGTACATATTGTTAAAAATGATAAAATAATCCATTAACATTGGAATATATACCAAGTCACTGCTCCCATTACATAGTATACCATGGCATTAGCCCCCCTGGACCACAACAGCACATTTTATATATACTCTGCATTGCAGACTTTTTATACATCAATCTATTCATAAATGTGAATATATTATATTCCTTAATCATATAAATCGTCCACATGTCTTGCATCAATGTGCAGTGGGTCCAGCCTTCTACGCGTTTCACCAAAGCTTCCTCAGGAAGGCAGCCTGAAATATTTATATCGTACACATGTATATAAAATAGGCATAACTATACATTGTAACTAACAAGTATCAATAATGTGTAGCCATCCAACATTCAAAAATAATACTGTTAAATACCATCTTTTGAGACGTTGATGATGAATGAGTCCACATATCCAGGATATATCCCCCAACATCCAGTGAATGGAGAGGGTAGGTAGCATACATGAAAAATCGGATTGGAGATGCCTGATAGCCATCCATCTGTACGTATAAATATTAATATTATAGTATATAACATAATTTGGGGTGTCAATGAAGAAAGAAATATAGAAAGTATGTAAAGGAGGGGGGCTCAAAGACCACTAGGGGGGTCTCCCCCATATGAACAAATCTAGTATAGTGAAATAAACTCAATATCTAACTATTGACCCAGGTGTCTTCAAATTTACCAACTAAACTAAAATCCA